AATATTTTTATCCTGGTTCGTTGAACTCAACTAATCCAGTCCACCCTATCAAGGTGATTTGCCTTTCTCCACTATATTCAAACAGATTACAGTGTCAACCACTAAGAACAACTGTCTTAGTCTTCTCAAGAAATTCTGACCACAACTTGGTCTTCTTAAGGAACCTTTTACAAATTAATGTAAACTAACAAGTGTTTAAGTTGCTTCTAAAAAGCTATATCACAAACTGCGATTTTTACACTTAGATTAAGAACGAACAAAAACTATTCAGCTTTGAGTAAGAAAGATTGTATGAGAGTTGTTGAATAATTTCAATGAGTTTGTCAATGATTCGTTAACCTTGAAGAGATGTTGAAGACGTCCTTTTATAGTGCTGAAAGTCCAATGCTTGAAGACTGTGCAAGTAGAGTAGCTGTAGCCTTTTGTCTTCACATGACTTTTCCTTTCTCAGAAGTAGAATGTTCAGAGAAATGCCTTTTGCCTGAATCCTTGTGTCTATCACAAATAAGGAATAGTTCTGTTGGAGAGGATGTTGAGAATAGTACCAAGTCTATTCACGTGCTAACATCTTTTCAAACGTAAACAACATCAGATCCTCTGATGTGCTTCTTGTTCTTCAGATCAGATTCAATGATATTAGAGTTGCAGCAATAGTGCTTTAGCGTGAGTGATCTGATCAGAGCATACTTGTTTTTCAGAGCCTCTGTACTTGCAACGTAAAGTACATTCAAAGTCTTCTGACACAATGCTTTAAACTCTTCATACAAAATCTTCAGCTACGCTTCAGATGCTTCTGCAGCTTCTGCAGCTTCTGCTTCAGAGTCTTCTACAGCTTCTGCTTCAGAGTCTCTTTTGGCAGTGCTCAGAGTCTTCTGATGGCTTGCTTCTGATGCTTCAGAGCTTTGCGTAGACTACTGTTCAGATGCATTTTTGCTTCCATAAGAATATTTAATTTAATATCTGAAACAAAAACACTTGAACAAAATTAGAGTATATATTTTCTTAATACAAAATTTCATAAGAGTTATCATCAAAACATAGAGATATAATTAAACACCAATATGTGCTCTAACAATTATTTGGATTTGTTGTGATTGCATAAAAGATATATATGTTGTATGAACTATATTTTATGCTTGTTGGCCAATTTAGGCGGTGTACAATAACCATGGTGGTGAGTTATTGTGCACGATGGTGTTGCCGTTGTTGTATGCATAAATATTCACATTTTATACAATTTTAGACAATGGTCCATTGTTGATGAGTCTAAAATCCCATCATGTGGATTGGGCCTATAGCTGATTCTAGAGGTGATGGATCAGTGAATGGTTATGATCTTAGGAGGTGGGGATCAGAACGATGAATCTGAGTGTTCATAAAAATTGGTACCACATGCATATGCATTGAGTTTGATTGTGAGCCTCATTGCATTATATATTAACTATGTTACTATGTTGCTAATATGTGGGATTGTTGTGATTAATTGGATTTTGTTATCATGTGACTTCCATGTTGTTTGGTGGATAATTAATGATGATGTTGTTGGTTGATTAATATGAGATGTTTAGCTGAATTGTTGTTGTGTTATCTTTATGCTTGTATAACTTAGTGTTTATGTTGATGTTGTTGGTCTATTAATATGAGATATTTAGCTAAATTGTTGTTGTGTTATCTTTATGTTTGAATAACTTAGTGTTGATGTTGATGTTGTTGGTTGATTAATATGAGATATTTAGCTGAATTGTTGTTGTGTTATCTTTATGTTTGGATAACTTAGTGTTGGTGTTGGGTGTGTTGTGTGGTAGAATGGGTGATAACGCATGTGTTAACCTAATGCATACTGTTTTTTATGCTTTCCTTTATAATATCATGATATCTCACCCTTCTGTTTGAATATTTCCTTCACATGGGTAATGCGCAGATAATCCGCAGTAGAAGCTCAGATGTGAGTGAAAGATGAAGTCTTTCGTTTATTCTTTTAGTTTTGCGTCTGCTTTGATATGTAACATTAAGGTTATAAAACGTTGCGTGCTTTTTATTGTTGGTGGTTGATTACCATGTTTTATTTCTTATGGCTGTTGTTTCTTTATGACACTATCAATTATGATATGCCTTGAGCTGTTAACTTGAATGATTAAATGTTATTTCCGCTACTATATGAATTAACCTTCAGTTATGTTTTGCTGATAATGTTATTATAAATAATTTTAAAAATAACATGTGTTACATACCTGATTGAATGAGTAAGTGTTTGTTGAAAGTGTGACATTCCTAAATATGAATTTGTGGATAATTACTCTGATTTTATTTATATTATGCGGGGGGGATTATTTAGGGTGTTACACCACATGCCTTTTTACCTACGAGCCTTGAGGAAAAGGTTCTTAATGGGCCTAGGAGTATTGTTAAGAAGCTTGCAATGCCCTTTAGAGAGAGGAAGAAATCAGTCATTTTAAAAGATTTTATTATAGACTAGAGGTGCATTTAGTATTTTGTTATTAAGTTTTTATTTCATAGTGGCCCATGGCCCATTAAGAGTGTTTAACCCTAGCTATATATTATAAGGACAATTTCTTAGATGCACCTCCGGAACGTCTAAGCGCCAGATTATTTCGTAGATACAACTCCAGAAGTTTATGCTATATTTGAAACCTACATGAGCACTTTGTCCATTACATTGCTCACATTAATCATCAAACTTTTGAAAAAAGAAGTAACGTTGCGAATCCAAATCAATTTGAAAAAGATCTTGTTAAACTTCAAAAGAAGTGCAAGGCAACACTTGATAGGACAAAGCAGGAGGGAACACTGCAATTGTTGATCATAATTTTGCCTGATTTTAAGGGTAAATCATATGGTAAGTTTTTTGTCTAGTCTAAATCAAATCATAAGGTTTTGTTGTATTATATTGAATCAAATTATTTTGTTTCCCAGATAGAGTAAAGTGTATATGTGAGACTGACTTGGGAATAATTTTCCAATGCTGTCAACCACGACAAGCGATGAAGATGAATAGGCAATATCTTGAAAATTTGGCGTTAAAGATCAATGTTAAGGTTCAAGTTATTCAGTAAACGTCCGCTTGTTTTGCTGCTTGATTTTATTTCTTCAAGTTTTAAACATATTATTCTTAACTGTATATAGTATGGAGGCCATAACACGGTGTTAAATGATGCATTTGAGAAAATAATTCCTCTAGTGAACACAAACACTCTTTGCTGTTTTTTCTTACATCAAATTTGCAGCCGTGTATTGTAGACAGAACTTAGGACTTCTCAAAGTTGATTTCTTGCTGCTTTGTTGTTCAAAAATATACACCATTAAATTCTTTGCTTTTAATTTTAAATTTTTTTATCAGGCTTGTAACTCAATCGCCTTTTGACAGTTCCGTGTTATTTGCATTTGGAAGTCTTCTTTTTGCAGGGGACTAGTCGACCAACACATTATCATGTGTTGTATGATGAAAATAAATTCACCGCAGATCAGCTACAAAGTTTGACTAATAACTTACGCTACACGTAATGATATCATTTGTTTTTTAAGTCTTGTATACAACTTTATTTTAATTAAAATGTCATCTTGTATGTAGTTTCTCCTGCTTATTATGCACACTTGCTAACTTTCCGCGCTCGATACTACATAAGTGAAGTTGAAAATTCTGATTCTGGTTCTACAAGTGGTAATAGGAGTGCCACCAACTTTGTGTCGACTCTACTGCCGTCTATCTTGGATAACATCAAAGAAGTAATGTTTTACTATTGATCTTGATTTTTCCTACAAGCTTCGAGGATACATTTGAGAGTTCGGATATTCACAATGCATTTTTTTTGGATATATATATATATATATATATATATATATATATATATATATATATATATATATATATATATATATATATATATATATATATATATATATATATATATATTGTCTTCTGTTTTTTTGGTTGGGCCTTATTTTGTTTGAATACGAGTTAGAACTACTAGACAACTTTTGGTTACAGGTCATGTTTGCCACCACGGGTGGATGATCGTTATTTTATTTTAATACAGGTTAGAACTACTAGACAACTTTTGGATACAGAACATGTGGCCACCATGCGTTTTGATAAATATTTTAAAGTTATCTTCATAGGATGTCTGCAATATCTCACCCTTGTGTTGAGAGTTTAGATAAACAATATTAAAATAAATGCAAGAATTAGTCAATTTTAATTTTATTTGTGTGTTGTGAAGTATGCTTTTATCAATGTAATGTAGTATTTAAATTTTTGTCGAAATCATCAATATAACGCCGATTTTATTTTATGAATATTGATTTTATCGTTGCAATGTTGATTTTTTGGAATTTTGGGTTTCTTCCGTAAAAACACATACATAAATATTCCGTAGATGCATCTACGAAATTAATTAAAAAAAGTTAAAATAAGATGCATCCGGAAATGTATCTCCAAAAATAAGGAGATATTTTTAAAAGCGCACATGATACCTAAAAAGCTCAGAGGTGGAGTAAGAAATTCTCTATTATAAGTGCTATTGAAGAAATAGAATTATGCATAAAATTGTTTTATTATTTTTCTCTTTTACAACATAGATCTAAATTTAACCTAGCTTTCATCTATCATGTAATTGTTTGGTAAAAGATCCTACTAATTTAATAGTGTAAAATTTTTATATAATAAAAAGTGACCAAACTTTAACTATTACATTTTAATAATAATAATAATAATAATTTATACAATATATAAAAAGAATACTTTGTTTTGGTGTGACTTATTTTTCTACCATTTTTACTCTTACTTTATTATATAATTTATTAAATAACTTTTTATTATTATCTTTCACATCATTTTTTATTATTAACTTTTATATATGGTATTTTTAAAAAAATTATTTAAATAAAAAATATCGTTAATTTATTGTAACAAACTGCATCATTTTCATTCCAATTGGAACACGAGACACAATTTGTTCAGTGTGCCGAGCGACAAGACAACAATGTCGTTTTTAAGGTACGTTTCTTCTGTTTCCATTCCCAATTCAAGATCATATTCTCCCTGTCTCCAACATTTCGATGACACTATTGATGTTGTTTCATTCTTCAATCGAATGCTCCATAAGAACCCTACCCCACCCGCCATTGAATTTGGCAAGGTTTTAGGTTCTCTTGTCAAGGCCAAACATTATCCCACTGTTATTTCTCTTTCTCAACAGATGGAATTGAGTAGAGTTACTCCTGATTTTGTTACTCACTCCATTCTCATGAATTCTCTCTGTCAATTGGGTCATATCACTTTTGCATTTTCTGTTTTGACAAAGATTCTTAAGAGGGGTTATCACCCAGATGCTATAACCTTCACTACACTCATCAAGGGTCTCTGTCTCAAAGGTCACCTCCATAAAGCATTGCAATTTCATGATAAGCTGTTAGCTCAGGGATTTCGGTTGGACCGAGTTAGTTACGGGATATTGATCAATGGTTTATGTAAAGTTGGAGAAACAACAGCGGCACTAGAGTTGCTGAGACGAGTTGATGGGAAATTGGTTCAGCCTGGTTCGGTAATGTACAATACAATCATTGATAGTCTCTGCAAAGATAAACTTGTTAATGATGCATGTGATTTATATTTTGAAATGGTTGCTAAGAAAATTTCTCCTGATATTTTCACTTACAATGCTTTGATTAATGGCTTTTGCATTGTTGGTAAATTGAAAGAAGCAATTCGTTTGTTTGATAAAATGGCATTGGAAAACATCTACCCGGATGTGTATACCTATAATATATTGGTTAATACTTTTTGTAAGGAAGGAAAGGCGAAACAAGCACAAAATGTGTTAGCTATGATGATTAAGAGAGATGTTAAACTTAATGTTGTTACCTATAATTCTTTAATGAATGGATATTGTCTTGTAAATGAAGTGAACAAGGCCAATGATATATTCAACATTATGTTCAAAAGGGGAGTGGCTGCTGATGTTTGGAGCTACACTACAATGATCAGTGGATTTTGTAAGGTTAAAAAGGTGGATGAAGCTATTAATCTCTTCAAAGAAATGCGTTGCAGAAAAATCATTCCCAATACGGTAACTTACAATTCTCTTATTGATGGTTTGTGCAAATCGGGGAAAATCTCGTATGCCTGGGAGCTTGTCGATGAGATGCATGATAGAGGTCAACCACCAGATATATTTACTTATAATTCTATATTAGATGCTTTGTTCAAAAATCATGACGTTGACAAGGCAATTGCATTATTTAAAGAATTTAAAGATAAAGGTATTCAACCTAGTGTGCAAACATACACAATCCTTATCGATGGATTGTGTAAAGGTGGAAGACTAAAGGATGCACGGAAAGTTTTTGAAGAACTTTTAATCAAAGGCTACAATCTTAGTGTCTGTACATATAACGTTATGATCCATGGATTTGGCAAGAGTGGCCTTATTGATGAAGCGTTGGCGTTGCTGTCAAAAATGAAAGACAATGGTTGCGTTCCGGATGCTAAAACTTATCAAATCATTATTCTTTCCCTATTTGAAAATAATGAAAATGATAAAGCTGAGAAACTTGTTCGTGAAATGATTATGAAAGATCTACTATAAGACCAATAATAGGTAAGATGCATTTCTATTTCTACAATATCATTTTTAATTTATGTTTCAACATGATTTCATCTTTTCATTAATGTAGTTGCTTCCGCTAATGGGAAAAAGATATATGTTTTTGTTGTTTGCGTCTTCACAAAATGATAGATGGGTGAGTTCCAATTTGAGGGAAATTGGTAGAATATTTACTATATTCCTGTCTTAGAAGTGTTGGGCTACGTTATAGATTTAGGGAGTTGTATATATGATACACATTCTGACAAACTAAACTTTAAAATACTTGGCAATTTATGAGGATATTTTGGATCCACATATTTAGTAGCAAGGGAGAATGTAACTCTGTTAATCTGTTTACTGCAATTGGGTAATACATAAGTCAAGTCAGTATATCCAATATAGAATTGTCTCTTGACCATTTCTCTAAGAATTTGACACACATTCCTCTAGTAACCTAGAAACATTTATGTAAAAACCCAAATTCTTTGAGTTGTCTCATTCAGGTTGGTTGGGTTCACGCCCCGGGTAAACTCGTTCAGGTTGGTTGGACTCTTCAGCTAATGTATGAGACCCGGCGTACCTTCTTATATCAACCAAAACATGTAGCACATAAAGTTTTTCTTATATGTGTGAATGGATGGCTTTGCTTTGCAAAATGTTAAGATTTTACACGTCGGGCTACCCATTTTTGTGCAGCAAACTTTATTCCCTCTATGATTGTGATGTGATAATCTTGATATTTTCTTATAAATAGAATACACCCCTCAGCAAAACATTATTTTGTTATGGTTTCTATGAGTTGAGTATTGCTCTTCTGTATTTTTTTGTTACTGTGAACGTGTGAGAACTCCGGGTTATGTATGTAGGTGAAATATTCTGATGGTCATCAACATGGGATATTCTGTAAATTGGACTAAGGGTTCTTCCAATGGAAATGAGTGAGATATGTGCCATAGAGGTTGACTTTATATTTAAGAAACTTAATATATGAAAATCTATTAGATCCTGCTCTTAATATATGAAATTGGACTAAGGGTTTTTGCATTTTCATGAAAAGAAGTTCTTAGAGAGAAGGTTACAAACGAGAATGGTAATTACATTACCGTGATCATCTACCCGAGCTTAGCATCTTATTCAACATTTTCGGAGATCAAAGTCTAAAAAACATGCATACTAGAAATGAACTCTACTTTGAACCGATGCATCTCACAGTCTGTCAACACTAAAAACTGCCAAGTTGATTCCTTGGTAGAATGATGCGAAATATGCCACGTCAAAGAACTCTGGTACACATAACAATTGCAACATATTGTGCAACTTTATTCGATCCAAAAGACAAGCCATCACAATAACCACAGAAACCAACGAACCACCAACATAATAATTGGCAATATCCCCATCATTCAAAGGAATTTTAAGAACAACACGGTTCATAGAAGACGCATACGACGGGCAACTACTTTGAACTAGCAAGGTTTCTTTTTCTCTAACTATAACCTCATACATGTTTGCCAATTGTTGTAATGAGTTACACAAATGTTTGACTCAGTTGTAACCATTCGGCGAGCTTCCTTTGTTATAACAATCTTTTTAGGTTTCTTTTCATTCCGATGTTGTTGTATTTCCTAGGTTTTAATTTAATTTTTGAATGCATTACGTCTTGTTTGACTTTATTGTGGAGTATTTTGCACCTCCATTTTTTCTTATGTGCTTTTAAGATTTTTATTTGTAGATTTATATACTTTTTTTCTTCTCTATTTTGTATACTACCTTATTGTTTTCACATGTCTTCCATCTCGAGGACTCGATTTGGCTATTTTGTGATTCTCTTGCATAGGCTTACTTCTTATTCAACTAAAATATTCCTAAAATTCAAGAAATTCTATCTTACGAATGAAGCTTAACTAAAATAATTGAACTTAGGAAGAGGTACTGGTCATAGGACATAGGACAATGGGTTGATCAAGGGTTTGGTCTTGGGGCTACTAAATTGAATTGGGACAGAACAAGTAACTTCATTTATTTCATCTTTGTTAAACTTGTTCTTCTGCATAATACCGTTATGATCCAAGGGTTTTGTTACAGAGGCTTGTTTGATGAAGCATTGGCGTTGCTATCAAAAAATGAAAGACAATGGTTGCACTCCAAATGCTAAAACTTACGAAATTATTATCCTCTCTCTGTTTGAAAAGATGAAAATGATAAGACGTATGAACTTCTTCGGGAAATGATTGTGAGAGGTCTAGTGTAGTACCAGAAATAGGTAAGAAGCATTTCGATTTATGCATAATCATTTTGAATTTATATTTCAATATTATTTCATATTTTCATTAATGTAGTTGCTTCAACTCATGGAAAAAAGATATCTGTTATTGTTGTTTGTACTTCACAAAATGATAAACTGGTGAGCTCCAGACTTGAAGAAAATGGGTAAAATATTATAATTACATTACTGTCTTAGAATTGTTGGTCTGCGTTTGTACTAATTGTATTACATCTCTAGCCAATACCTTTAGCAATAGCAAATATCTTGATGCTTTATATGATGAGAAATTCATTTCAATACTCTTCGAGACTAAGAGGATGAATTTGTTAGTCTTGTGGTAACTCATACACCAATGTATGGCAGCCCTAATGTATGGAAATTATATTCTAGAAAGATGAAATGAGTGATGAAAGGTGAGCAAACTAAACTAAACTAAACTTTAGGACACTCTTAAGTTAGAATCGTTACTAGTTACTACTATTAGGACACTGAATTCTTACATTATAGACTTAAGAGTTGTAGATATGATACACATTATGACAAACTGAACTTTAAAGTTCTTGAGAAATTATAAGTAGATTTCGGATCTAGATTGCAAATGAGAATATCATTCACAATGTTTCTCACAATTGTGTAATACAAAAGTCATGCATATTAGACTCTAGGCAACTCTGGTTTAAGTTACATTTTGGTGAGGAGTGCAATGTGCATCATGCCATGAAGTGTGATTATGAGAGATTGTTGAATCTTGCTTAGGCTTGCTTCTTATTCATGTAAAATAATTCCTAAAGTCAAGGAATTATTTTGACCACAAAAGATTAATAGATTTAAAAAATAGTGTATCATTCATGTGTTCTATGCATTTCTAACATGGTATCAGTAGAGGTTCCTTCCGTTCCCGAGGCCTCCATTGAAGCTGGACCTCGATCACCAGTCCTGCCCATTGGTTCATCCTTTCCAGCGACTAAACACTTGTTTTCTGCCATCTCTGAGAAGTTAGATTTAGAGAATTATATTCTATGATGTCAGCAAGTGGAGCCAATGATAAAAGCTCACAAGCTACATCACTTTCTACTCGAACTAATACTTGTAAGACTTTTTATTGAGCACTATTTATAGTCTAACTCATTCGATTTTTCTACAAACATTTTACTGCCTTTGACAGTCAGATTTAGCAACATCAGCTTCTATGTGTGGTAGATTTGTTGTAGTTCAAAGAGATCAGTTAAAGATCATGCTAAAAGTATTTCTCAAAGATTATATGAAAGTGTATATATGTTGTTATAGGTGTACAATTTTATTATAACTCTGGCGGCTTATTTGCGAACCATAGAGCCCTCAAGATCAAGGGTTATTTTGGAGATAAAAAGCGCAAATGCACATAATCACCCTTCACAAGTCTGAATGTTACTGCTAAGTCCTAAACTCCTTCAAGTACTGTTATCAACTCTTGTATATTTTACCTCCTTTTCTGTCGCAGTATTTTTAAAATCATAGTTGTGAGTCAAGATATACATCTTACAAGCATGTGAATCTAACTCTGCAGATAAGTCTCTTGCATCAACTGAAGTTCCTGGTTCTAGATCCAGGTCAGACTAAAATGAAGTTACTGTTGCTTTAGATATCCTCTACATTAATTGCACTTTAGAATTATGTTGGTGCTGGTATGTATCATATAGTTTTGCAGTTACACGAAAACACAAAGTATTATCAGAAAAGGCTAACTAATTCATCCCTGGTTTTATTGAAAAAGATACACTAACGCAAAAAAACGAAAAGGGGAAAGAAAATTATCTCCAAATCACCATTACTATCAAAACTGTATAATTTGATATATTATGATTAAAAATATTCAAGTGCTAATATATTCAAATAGAGTATTATGAACTAATGAGTCTAAAGATCTAAACTTAAATTACTAATAAAGTTAAAAAACTAATTAATTATTTATAACACTCTCCCTCAAACTGGTGAGTCTATATCCATTATTTTCAACTTTGAAACAATTTCTTTAAAGTTATTGTTGTTAAGCTCTTTTGTTAGAAGATCTGCAAGGTTGTCTTGGGAGGACACATATGAAATGCAAATAAGACCATTGTGTAATTTTTCTTTAATGAAGTGTTTATCAACTTCAATATGTTTAGTTCTCTCATGTTGTACTGGGTTATGAGTTATGCTAATAGTTAACTTATTATCACAATAAAGTTTCATCGGCTCATCGCAATCCTTAGATCTTCTAAGATTGATTTCAATCATATTAGTTTACATATCCCTTGTGCCAGTGTCCTGAAATCTGCTTCAGCATTAGATCTCGATACTACATTTTATTTCTTACTTTTCCAAGTCACAAGATTTCCACCTATGAAAATGCAATAACCTGTAGTTGATCTCCTATCCACAATTGAACCTGCATAGTTGGCATCGATATATGCTTCAAGACCTACACTCCCATTTCTTTTAAACAAAATTCCTTTACTAGATGTTTCTTTCAAGTATTGTACAATTCAGAGCGCAGCTTATAAGTGAATCTCCTTTGGTCGGTGCACGAATTGGCTAACTAAGCTAACAACAAAAGCAACATCAAGTCTAGTATGTGGGAGGTATATAAGTTCTTGACTAATCTCTCATACATTTCCTTACCAAATACAATATCTTCTTTTGCGTTTCCCACCTTTACACTTGGATCAACTGGTGTATTTGCAGGCTTCGATGTAGGTTTCCAGCAGAAGATCAA